TTGTTTCAGCACATCTTTCAATACACATCTTTCAATTCGCCAACTCAATTATTATATCCTTATGGATCCAATTCTCATACAATTTCGCATTCTTATTATGTCATAAAAAACATCAGATACCGAGCATGAGAGCATTTGATTCGATGCAAATAGCATTCTAAGTTCCTCCCACCAGCTGTCCACTTTAATCTTCAGGATCCTCCCATCTCTTCGAATAATAGATTCCATTACATTATTTTAAAACTGAAGGATTTTTATGACACACTGCGTATTTTAGGCTAATATAAAAGTTAATTCTGAAACTCCATTATCATTTCAAGCTACTTATTGGTTGCTAAAGTTCACCTTTCTGCCTTCTTCAGCCCTCAAAATGTTGCAGGTGAGTAAACATTTAGTTTCAGATAAATTACAGTTGTTTTTCCGTTTGGATGGGTAGGCTCAGGAGTTTGTTACAATAATAATCAGCGTTAGAGCACATTAAATATAATTTCTGAACTGTAAATATTGTTACATTTTCTATTTTCAGATTTCTGTAGCTCTAATAGAGACACTAGATTGAAACAAAGAAATGCAATGCAAACCTTTTACAAAAGAAATGCAAACTTTTTACACTCACAGTCTTAGTTACGATACACAGTATGCTATATGTTTGGTTAATAAAGCTTTTAGAGCATTGACATTAGAAACGTATACTGCAGGAGGAAAAAAAGAGACATTTCTATACCACCCTTTTTACTGGGCCAATTGGCGAAATTTAAATTGAGTTTTTCATGTCTCGAAAGCGCGACTTAGGATATGCATTAGATTTATATATAGCTTTGTTCAAATATAGGTATTTTGACACAAAATCGGAATTTTTCTGAAACGACATGCCAATTTGTTTTCGATTCTACGGCTCAAATTATGTCAAACTGCCAAATTTTGTAAAAATCGCATGATAGTTTTTAAAAAATTAGCTCTCGAAATTTTAGATCCTCAATGTTAATTTAATTTGGTATGTATTTATTAATGTCTCTTTTTTATAAACGTATTTGATTCCTTCCTACACAGTTCGAAATTTAGGTTCATTCCAAATAAAATTCACCCATTTTTCATGATTTATTTTTAAAATTTGTATTTTAAAATAATTTTTATAAAATTTTCGAAAAAAAATTGAATTATAACCTATAAAAGTTTTACAATCATCTTAAAGTAAATGTATTTCTAAGCATACCTGCAAAAAATTGAGCTTTTTATTCAAAATTTTCGAAGATATACGTGAATTTATATATTGGCGCGCTTTGAAATTCGGCCATATTTTCTGAAAGCGATAATAATGAAAATGTGATTTAAGTTTTGATAAAATTATTTGAAAGTAGGAACGAGGTGACGTTTTTTCCCGCTCATCCACAATGTAAAAAAAAGGTATATGAACGAGGTGACATTTTTTTTCCCACTCCTGCACAATGGAAGGGAAAGGAAAATGAGTTGCCATATATAAGAAGTTCGCCAAGTGAATTGAATTATTCTTGGCTCAAACTGAAAAAATGCGCCAAGTTAAATTTTTTAATTTCTCCGTAAATTTCGCACCAAATTTAACGAAATTTAATATTTAGACATAATTAGAGTCGTAGAATCAAAATTTGGGAAAAAGTGATATCTTATTTTAGAAAAAGTCCCATTTTGTGTCAAAATACCTATATTAGATCAAAGCTCCGGAATATACGGTAATTGCAATATTTTGTGAAACTTCATTAATATTATTTTAATAATGTCAGCTTCCGTAATGAGTTAGAATAACGTACAACATTTATTCAGTTATCGTTTATGCATTCTTTATAAAAACGAAACCTGTTCTTTTGTTTGATTAAAAAAAATTTTTAATAAAAAGATCTTCGCCCTCCTCACTCAATCTGTTTTTTCATTTTATTTTCCCATTCTTCAATATAGAAATAAGAAAGCTCTTTAAAACTGATTTCACTTTTTGAAAACTATAATCTGACAATGTTTTCCCCTTTAAATATGGATATTTTGGCAGTTGCAGGAATGAGATGAAACAATTGAATGGTAAAGTTAATAAATAAAGAATTACAATTCATAAGCAAAATTCGAGTTTTAAATTTTGTTAGAAGGGACAGATCTAGAAGGTAGTCTTTATGACCATATATCAATCCATCCAAATAAAAGATTTGTGTATTTGTACACTAAAATTTAAAATAACTTTAAATAAATAATTTAAATAATTTATAATTTTAAATAATTTAAAATTAAAAAAATATAATTATCAAATTTAGTTTAAAGTAAAACCTTCTTGATGCACTGCAAAATTAAGCACGTGCGGAAATGATAGTTTAATGAAGTCAAACATTACATACTCAGCATGAAGCAGATTTCAGGAGAGGCGTGTGTGTGTAGGTGTGTATTTAATTATGGCAAAGCACACTAGGGCTATCTGCCTAAGGGAGGGATGCCTTCGTGGAGGACTTTCTAAGGGAAACTAGCTCGTATACACATTGCACATGGGGAAAACCACGAAAACATCCATGCAGCCAGCCCGTTCGCGGGATTCGAACCTCGGACCGAACTACCAGTTCAGGAGAGGCGAGAAAGAAATATATACGTTCTTTAAAAATAACATAGGCTTATTAAATAAAAAATATAAATTTGTGATTTATATAAATATAACTTCTGTAGTTCGAGACCCCTAGACGGTATAGTGGTTAGGGAAGCCTGACTGCGATACCGAAGGGCCTGGGTTCGAATCCCGAAGAAAGCATGGTTGTAACTGTCCGTTCCTTCATAGGAGGCAATGGTAGCCCACCTATTAGGTGCCTCCATAATAAAGAGACCACTCCATCTGGCCTTGTATAGATTAATGGACTGTGTTACACTGTAACTGTTCACAATCTGCCATTGGAAAAAAAAATGTATTTCGAATTCTGCTATGTAAGAAATCTGAAGAAATAAAAAATCATTCTTTTTTCGAAAAAGCAATGAGAAAAAAGTACTCTGTATGAATGGTTTTAAAAACATCTTTTATTAATTAAATTAGTTGTCAACATGTTCATAGATCTCATGAGCAGCTGGTGGGCTAGATATTATGAGTTGGAAATACGGCCCATTGAACGTATTAACAGTTATATTAAGTTATTAAAACTTAAGAAAAGTTTTAAATTTTTAAGCAGTTCTGTGCTACTTTTAAATGGCTTAGTTTATTTAGCTGTTAAAGACCGAATCAATTTAGAAGATCCAATTTACCTTTTGCCGAATGGGAACACTGGAAAACAATTATGCACAAGATAAATTAATGACATCTAATTTCATGCACTTGACAGTAAGAACGGATGATATTGTTACGAAATGTACAGGCGCGGTGACATGGCTTCCTCGCAAAGCATTTTTAGGGTTGCCATAAAATGGCAAAAGACAACAAGGTTGCCACATTTGGTGAGAAATCGCCAATTTGGAGACAAAATTGGCGATATCCCATGGACGGACGGAGAACCTTCTGGAACGAATTCTTACCGGTTTAGCACAGCAGGTTCTCGAACAAAAGCCGAAAGCTCTATAAACCCTGCTGGTCCGCAGTCAGGGGAGTGTGCGTCACTCATCGAGTGAGTATGTCTCGTCTAGCGAATCAATCCCTGCGCAGGCGATCGCGTTGACAGCCGGCCAGAGAGTGTCGAGTGCACCGAAAGAGTCTCGTAGAGTATCGCGGTTAGTGCATAGTCGAGAGAGCGTGTTGAGCTCCGGAAATGACTGAAGCGAGAGTCAGGGGGCTGTGCTGAGTCGAGAGCTATACTCTGGTCGAGTTGTCAAAAGCGAATCGTAAGCGTAGGAGAGTCTTTCAAGAGTACGTGGAGATTCCGAGAACGACCAAGCAGAGTCGGGAGCTGTACTCCGGAAAGCGTAGTCGGGTGCTTTGCTTGAAGCTGTCTCCACCGTGATAGCCTGATAACCTGAAGGCTGTGTCGCTGATCGTGTCAGCGTGTTTGTAGTAGTTCATCGACGACTGTAAAACGTGTTTTGGAGCTGTCCTGATAATACTTGGCTAATAAAGTGTGTTTCGATACTTCATCAAGTGTCGTCGTTATTCACTCCAAATCTACAAACCCCGTACGAACGTGAAGGAAGAAAATAACGCAACAACTGTTGTCAGAAGATTTAAAAAAAACGCAACAGTATATACATGAAAACGTAGCGTTACGTTACAGACCAAAATTTTGTGAACACACCTCTAAGACTATTTCAAACATCAATAAAATTTTGATGAGAAAAGTTTAAAATATAAAGCTTTTTCTACATTTGCGTCAGATTTAGAGAAAAGTCAAATTCGAATAATGGAAATTCTAATCTTATCTGCAAAGCTTTATTTTACATAATTACGTATACCGTACATACATAAGTAATAAGAGGAAGACTGCAAGAGCTCTATTTCACAATTATTTCGATTTTGCGGGCTAGTTTCAGTTATTCCCAAAGAGAATCAGACCACACAGCTGAGAAATGTTTTTTTTCAGTGACTGTTATTTTCTCGTGTTTCGCTAACCCTCTAAGGCAGAAATTTCCTTAATATTGCCTGTCATACAAGGATATAGTTCTGGCAGTTGGGCAAAAAAAGAATATCCTTCGAAACCGATACTAATAATAATACATTAAAATTTACTTATTAAATTACACCCCACGTTTTATTTATTTTAAAGTTACTTTTTCGTTATAAGAAATTTCAATTTATCTCATAGTTGTTTAGTGAATTACTTTACTCATGATTGCCAAGACGTGACGCATTCTGAAAATTTGGTGAATTCTACTAATGTGATACCCATTTATTCGATAGTTCGCTATTCATATATTCGTATTATGATTAAGTGAAAAATTAATCCCCCCAAATTGTTACAGATCAATTATGCTATTGTACTGATGTATATTGATATAAATTAATGACTGTGTATTCAATAAGTTGCCACTGCTGCAACAACATTTTTATTACTTTTCTACTGTGATAGCTAATCTTCGTCGTAATGACCGTTGCGTTTTTCGTACCTTCAGCAACGGATGGTGGTACTATCCTCGAAACAAAAGTTATAATGAAGAGGGATAGTACTGTACAAGTATGCGGTCAAGATTTGGCGAATGCTCTCAGCGTAGTATGCGGTGAAGGATACAACGAAGAAAGGAAGAGAAAGAGGAACTTTGGTACGGAGCTAGCTGAAATTGGTAAGCTTTCTTATATACTTAAAAAGACTTAATTTTATTAACTACAGTCGCAACCCTATAGAACAGGAATCCTATAATGAGCGCCAGAGCTCTATAGAAAACACTCAGGTAAAAGGAAAGAAAATAATTAATTAAAATACTAATAAATAGAGCAATAAATAAAGAACACTTAAAATTGAATAAAATGCAAAAATGAATAAATACAAATATTTATAAATTAATATAAATTGTAAACGAGAATAATAATAAACTAAATTATATGATTTATATCTTATTCAAATATATGATCTATATCTTATACAAATATATGAAGAGAAATATTTTGAAGAGTATACTTCACTGTGAGATAAAATGGCTTCCTTATTTGGGCTTCTAATTAGTTTAAAGCTTTCTACATGAGATGGATAGAGTCAATAATATTTGTCCCCCTGAAGAGACATTTCATGACATGACATTTTGAAATGATGATTCTTCAGGCACTGGTTTTTCCATGCAGTTTGCTTTACCGAACGCAAATGAGGTGAACATTTGTTGGTAACAATATCAGTTTCATTTACTGCTATAAGGGATACTGAATTAGTAACAGAGTTTTCTGTTTATATTGCAATTCCATTACTTGACAAAGGCTCGAATCTCATCTTACTTGGGACTTTGAGACGTTCATGTTGAGGTTACGATTTTGATCGGAAACTGAGATGTGCCGGGTTCCGGCTTCAGTGGCTTAGTGGACCTGGACTGAAGTAAGTCCTCATTTGCTCATTTTTAAGATGCACAGATAAGTTTACTGAAGCCATAGGATAATTGTTTTGTTGACTGAAAACTAATACAAGTGCAAGTACTTTAGTACTGTGGAGACAGTGGGATACCTCTGCGACAGGTATTGCTTTCCACAGCAAAATTTTATGCGTTATTGCTTTTTTAAGGGGTGTTACTTCTTAAGCATTACATTTGAGTAAATCTTGAGGAACGGATATATTAAACATGTACCATCCTAATATTTGTGATGATGCAATGCTTGTGAGAAGTTTCTTATTTAGAATTTGCCTGTGTTGTAAACAATCTCCTATAGGTATTTTATATATTAATTATGCATAAATGTGTGTACTGAAAACTTGAGGTTGAGACAAAAGTAGATTGTACTGGAATTCTTGTTTTTTCGCGAAGAATATTTTAATTAGCAATCGTATAAATCCATACCTATGTTATCAAATTCATACTTTTAATGATATTTCTTCTTCACCCGTTACTTTTGATGGGAGATTTTATTTTATGGTATAGGGCAGGGTTCTACAAATGTCTTGTGGACAAGACAAATCGTGAAAATTCTAGGTTCGGTGGCTCCCTCCGAAAACAAAAGTGAGGGTGGTTCAAAAATGTTTAAGAAGTTACATGTTTTAATAATTATATTCAGCTGGCTGAATTTAACATAAACATTCCATTTATTAACAAACACATTTTAGAACAGGTGTTATCATCCCGGAGGATATTCCCTTTAGGGGAATTTCATAGTTTCAGGGAGGATGTGGCCAGCCTTTAGTGAATATAAAAACTACTTTTATTCAACCTTTGGTATTCATCAGAATAATCGAGGTATGTTTTTGTTTTATTTTGTTCTTAAAGAATAGAAATAATTAAGAGGAAAGGATTTTATCCATATTATTTAAATTGTGCCATTTCTTTTTTTTTATTTTTAGTCGACGAGAATATTTCTCTTGAATTAATATTTTAGCTGCTGTTATTCTGAAGGGCACTTTGAACTGTAAGTCTATAAAATTTTTGCAATTATTGTTTTGTAACATTAATGAATATCTTGCACATATGATTCTGTTTTTCACTGAAAACTGCAGCAGAATTTAATTTCTTAGAACATTTAGAATTTTGTGAACATCAGATGCATTAAAAATGTTAGACTTAACAAAGTTAACATTTTTCGGAATTTATATTTAACAAGTCTTAGGCATTTATACTTTTTACTGTCCATTACCAAGTAGGCTAAGCCCTGAAAAATATATTTTTTAAGGAAGATAGTTTCGTTTTTTCATATATTATTTTGAAACTGCGTTATATATTTTTTCATATTAACTAACTTTAGCATAGTGATATCATGTGGTAAAATGAGTTTATAGATCTTTTCTGGATAAGATGACCTCATTACAACCTTCTTTTTAGTGCCATAATAAAGTGTTTTTCCCCTCGAAGAATTCATCTTAAGTACGAGTAAAACACGTCACCATGTCGTTTATTGCTAAAGCACGGAAACAAGAATGAGTGTTCTAGCACGTGAACTTGGTGTGAATATTACTGAACAAATGACGGTGATTGATATTAAAGATGCCATTTGAATCAGTAAGAGATATAATGAAGAATTCACAAAAGATCTATTTTTTAGCATAATTGCGGATCGAAAAGATTTAGAGGAACGCGAATTTAACGAAGGAAAACAGCGTGAGAAACGCGAATATAACAAAAAGAAAGAGATAGAAAAACGCAAGCACGAGCTTGAAAAATTGAAAATAGAAACACCTAGTTCAAGTGCTAAATGATTCTGTACCTGTTTTGAAACTTACTGACACGGATATCCCTAAATTACAACTACAATTTTTAATTCGTCACTTTTATCTAAAAACATATAACATGAGCCTTTTTCTCGCTTTATTTGAAATGCAACTAACAATTTGAGCGTACTTCAAAGGAAATGGGTAGTATATCTCTTAGGTTTGCTACCTAATGGCATTGCAAAACTATTGCAAAGGAATCTGCTGGTGATGCACAAGATTATGACAACATCAAATAAATTCCCTTAAAACGTTTTAAATTAAGTGCTGAAAAGTTTCAACAGCTATTTTCTTAGCATCGCAAAAGTCCTGATAGTACATAGAGAGATTTTTACTTCGATTTTAGAAATTTCTTTGATGCTTGGGTTGGCGAATTAAATATCAATACTTTTGAGAAGTTAAAGGATTTGATGATATCGGAATAAATTGAAAGATGGTCCCCTTCTGAGTATAAAGAATATTTTGAGGATCACTGGTCCGAGTGTACTGATCTTCTTCAACTTGCTGATGAATTGAATTTATATGAAGAAGCTAAAAAAATCAGAAGTAGAAACGTCAGTAAGAACACTTCAAAACCTTCTCAATGTAGTGGTCCCAAAAATTATAAAAATAGCCCTCAAATTGTTAAAAATTCAGCGACAAGCAATTCTGCCATGGGAGAAGATCGACCAACTGTTAGTTGTTATGGTTGCAGAAAATCAGGTTTCGTTATGACTAAGTGTCCAACCTATTCTTCTTCTTTAAGTAAAGAATCAGTCAACTTCAAAGCTATAAACTTACATACATTGTCTGTGGAGACACCTCCCACGACTCTTTTAAGGGTAAAAATCAACGGATTTGCTGGAATTGTCTGCGCTGACACTGGTGCTAGTCACATTACAGCGGGAGAAACATTATATAATCTCTTGAAAGAACAGGGAAGAGAATTTAAGAAATCTACTATGAAGGACACTTTTGCCGACGGTATAGGGACAAAGAGGTCCACATTGAAGGAAGATCATTCCGCACAACTTTATTTGCGCTTCCCTCAGCAAATTGTAATAGGACACCTTTAGGATCGGTTTTTATTAAAAGCTCTGGAATTGTTTTAGACTTACTATATCAATGGTGGTTTTACCACGATAATCGAAAACAGAAGTTTATTGATGATGATTTTAAATTCAATGAGCGAACCAAATGTACGCTGGAAGTTGACAATGTTAAGGGAAGTTGAATGACAACATCTATCGCCTCATCAAAGATCACAATTAAAGGAATTATTGAGTCAATATTCAACTATCTTCCAACCAGGAGAAGAGGCAACACATTTCATAGAACATCGAATTAAAACTGGAAACCATCCCCCAGTAGCTGTACCACCGTACAGAATGAATCCTGCCACGAAAGTAATTTTAAAGGAAGAAATTAACAAGCTCTTGTCTGAAAGAATAATTGAAGAATGCGAATAACCTTATGCACCCGCAGTTGTTTTAATACCAAAACCTAATGGAACAGTACGCCTCTGCACAGATTACACGAAATTAAACGCGATTACAGTTCCGGATTCCTACGCACTTCCGAGAATGGATGACTTGTTACATGAGGCAAAACCTACTCCTTTCATGTCAAACCTTGGTCTTCGTGCAGGTTATATCACCAAGTGAAGGTTTATCAAGACAAGACAGCATTTGTTTGTCCCTTCGCGAACATATCGTTTCTTACAAATGCCTTTTGGAAATGGTCTTCGGAATGTCTCAGGAAAATTCCAGAGATTGATAGACCATTTGATGTATGAAATATGAAATATGAAATTAGAAAGAACTCTAAGTATAAAAGATATGATTAATGCCCTCAAGTCAAGGACAGATGAACGCAAATGCGATGTTTAATGTGTGAAAACTTTCTATGCCAATAACCCATGAAAGTACTTTTGTTAAAAGTGTGGACAAATAAAATAAGCATTGTGTATTAGAGATGCAAAAACGTTGGAGGTATGATGTTTATTTTGTTATTATTTTCATTTATCTGAGTTTTAACTCTCTATAAACTTCTTTTGGAAATTTATTTTTTGTAAAAGTATTATTTCGTATCATAAAAGAAAAACAGCTTGAAAACTAAATAAAACTATTTTTACCGTATTTTAAATATTGTGGCATGTGATATCCCATACGCCTACTCTAGTAACTTTTCTTGATGCGCCTTCCACTAGGTTATTGAATCAAGGTGTCCTCTACCGATACGTCCCTCACTTGTATTGAGAAGAGGCCCAGTTAGTCATTCCAACTGCCGAGGGTGAATCCATCATGCGAAAGCACCATGATGACCCCCTGGCTGGACATCATGGACAGGAAGGAACATTCCAAAGAACTGCCAGACGTTGTTATTGGACTCGTATGAAAAAGTACATATCCGACTATGTGAAAATCTGTCCTGAATGCAACCAATAAACACAAGGCTACCAACCAAAAGCCAGCTGGACTGCTAAGAACCCTGTCTACTCTCAACGTTTTGAGATCATCTCTATCGATTTGTTTCGACTACCGTCCCAAATTAACACTGGAAAACAGCAGATATTCATTTTCGAAGACTGTGCTACTAGGATGGGTTGATTTATTTCCTTTTGCTCAAGCTACAGCACGCGAATGCGCTGTAACCCTCATTAATGAAGTATTCATGTGGCATAGTATACCAAGAAGAATCATCAGCGGTAACGGAACCCAGTTTATGAGTGCTATCACGCAAAAAGTTTGCAGCACATTAAATATAAATCATTGATACCAGTTTACTTTCCTGTAGAACGGAAAAATAGAGACTTAAAACCTCGTCTAGCAATCCTTGTAGGAGATGCGCATGACAACTGGTATTCAAACTCCTAGTTATTCATTTTGCAATGACTACTGCCATCTGTGACACTAATGCATTAGCATCCCTAATGTTTGGAAAAGAGCTGAGGACTGTCGACGACGTTGTCCACGATTTCAAATCTGTGGTCGAAAATAATAATGTTGTTCCTGAAATCACCTCTTATCTTAAAGGATTCGTAACTATCACAAAGGACATACGAGACCATATGGAAATGAAGCAAGACAACGTGAAAAGCAATATGAGAAAAGAAGACGACAAATGTTTTATTCACCAGATGATAAAGTGTAGGTCAGTTTACATCCGATTAGTAATGCAAAAAACAAAGACTTCAAAGTTCATACCAAAGCGTGACGGTTCATACTTGGTTAATGACACAGAAATCACCTACTTCTTGTGTCATTCCAAGCCTTCATAAACCATCAGAACCCTTAGGGACGTACCATACGTCCGCACTAACACATTTCAGAGGCACGTGCATTTCTTCCATTGTTCCGCTCAGGAAAAGAGGTTAACCGCCTAAACTATGTTGGAATAACTGTGTCCTCTCTGGTGAGTAGCCAGAGAAAGACTTCAGTAAAAGCCAAGTGATGAGCCTGTTAGTTTGTATCAGACTCTCACTCATTCAATTAATTCGATTCTGTAATATTCTTAAAATTAAATGTAATGCCTATGTATAACTTAAATGTAATCTCTATGTGTAACTTAAACCTGTTAATAAATTATTGTTACGCTATAAAGAACTCTTTTATAACCGCATCCAAAACGATCCCCCTTAGAAGAGTTATTTGAAAAATAAGGTTTTTGGTGGACCAGAACTTGTGAACTAGTAACAACAAAAAATTTACATTCAGTTTTCTAGGCTCGTTTAATTTATTAATATATAGCCTACTTTTTAACAACCATCCTAAATAATTACGGAGCATTAATAATTTAGACATCGAAATTTAAAATTAAATTCATTCGACAGTTCCTTTGTTTTCGATAAAAAACAAACAAAATCTAGAATGCAAGAAGTAAAATTTTGATAGTAATTAAAGTAATTAAATCATAGCTATTATTTGATACTATTAATAAAGATGTACTTATTAAATACTTATGTATATTTTGGACAAAATTCTTCTACAGATTCTTATCCTCAATGGCTCGCCTTTGCCTTGACATCGAGCGGTCAACGTGAAGCCAGGCAAACCAATCCTGAACAGATAGCTTTCCACAACAGAAGACCGAGAGGTATTGTTGATGAGTGTTGCATGCGATCTTGTACAATTGAAACTCTCATGTCCTACTGCGCACGTTTGTATTAAAACATTAAGATACTGTGTTGATAGAGTACTAACGTAAATGCGATTGTGGATTAAAATTGTTTGCAGTAAAAATATATTGTTCTTCTCTGAATGTATATTTTCCAACTTTACATAAATTATCATAATACTAGTTACCTTTGGCTGTGTTTCTGTGATGTTACTTTATTATATATATCTGCATGTCTGCGCTTCACTTAAAAGGATTTGATGAGATTATTTCACTAAACCTGAATATATTTAACACATTATTAAGAAATATTCAAGCAGAAAATCAGAAACTAAATTATAGTAAGCTCTAATTGCATTATTAGGCCCACCAACGGCCGAGCGGTAACGTCGCTGAACACTGGTAGTTCGGTCTGAGGTTCGAATCCAGCGTACGGGCTGGCTGCATGGGCGTTTCCGTGGTTTTCCCCATGTGTAACGTGTATACGAGCCAGTTTCCCTTAGAAAGTCCTCCACGAAGGCACCCCTTCCTTTAGGCAGATAGCCATCGAGGCTTTGCCGTAATCACATAAAACCAAAGCATCTAATTGCATTACGTAAATAAAGTCTGATGTGGACATCACGTGAGTTCCTTGTACGGCCTTTTATATTATACACATTCTTTGCTGTATTTCACTTAACTTATTTCCTAGAATTTCATTGGAGATATATTTCTCATTCAATTAATTCAATTCTCGCTTCAAAACATCTTCATTAAAAACTGAACAGTACAGAAAAACATAAAAACAGCAAATGTAATTAAAACAGCTAATTTTTTTACAATTAAAATTAGAGTTTTTGCGCAAAAACAGGCAATTCGACCAGTGGGCAAGATTGCAGATTTTTCGACGCATTATACTAAACGTTTACTTTTGATTACACTCGACAAAAAGACACTGAAGGTACAGAAACTGACTTAATTCACTATTTTGCTAAGTTTCTAATGTAAATAAGTATGGATGCTCTATTAGGTTTAGTTGCAGTTAAACAACTTTTAAATTGTTGGTAATTCTACAGCTATTGCATGCAGATTAACTAATAGCATAAAAATCTGAAGAACAACATAATTTAATAACCCCCCCCTAAAAAAAAGTTGCACAGCAACATGTTGTAGCAGTCCTGTATACACAATTTCAGGGGTTCAAACATTTTTGAGTCATGCAAGATATATACATACGTGCGTGCAGACGTTACAAAAAAAAAAATCTCATCTCAATCCATTTTATAATCTGTTTCCGGAAAAAGAGTTCTTTATTCTGTGCTTACGTACAGATGTCGCGCAAATACATCGTTAAATTGCATTCAATAGCGGTCAAAATGGATATTTTCCTTGAAATATGATACCCAAATTTTTTCGTCATTACAAATACTTGGCACAAAGAAGTCATTACAATACTTGGCACAAAATCCCTACTCGGGCAGTAATTTAGCAAAGTTATGTATTATTAAATCCATGAAAAGATCACTTTCAATAATGATTATTTTTAGCGGAGTTAAAAGTTACTCTTCACTAATCCTAAAAAGGAGCATAATTTGAAGATGCTTCTAAAACAATAATACGCATTACGCTACTATTTACATAAAAAAATCAATTCTCTGTTAATGAATTTCTTAATTTTTTTTTTCTGTTTACTAATTTCTTGGATATTGTTTTGAATAAAGTTACTTTTAAATTTTATTTTAGTAATTCTAACAAATTTTAATAATTATAATAATAATTAAATAGTAATAATGAATTATAGTAATTTTAAATAATTCTTCTAACGAAATTTTCTTAACAATTAAAAAATTTTTAATAATGATTATTATTACAATTATTACAAATTAAAATTTTTTATTAAAATTTAAAAGTGTAAATTATAAACTATAAATTGAGAAAATTATAATAAATAAAATTTTTTAGTGATTTAAATAATAATAATAAATTAACAATTCTAATTTTTTTCTTCCTGAATAAAATGAAATAAACGTTCTTTTTCTGTTTAATTATTTTTAACACAGGTTCCACTAAGATCCAAAGGATACTGCATTTAATGGAAGTAACTCAACAGTTCGCTCTAAAATAGAATAAAATAATAAACTACAGATGTAATTTTTATTACCGACTGAAATAGTAAAAATATGATGAAAATATGCAAAATCTCTCTCTCTCTCTCTATATATATATATACATTCTTTAGCGGAAATTACTCTTGGTTAAGCGTAAAACTTCACGCATGTAAATTGAAATGAAAGACGACGAAAATGAACGGACTGGAAATATACTTTAAGATTTAGAACAATAAACTAATGTCTAGCCTTTTCTAAATACATAAATTAAACCTTAAAAAATTCCAATATTAAATGCAAAAACAGTATTTCGTAATCTGTCACATTAATTCAAACGTCATATCATATTAAAATTAAAACATTACTAAAGTCTTTAATATGACGTCCGTAGCGAAAAAGGATTGAAGTAAATTTTATATTTTGAACAGGTAACAATGAGAACTCCCTTCATAAGTAAAAGACAAATAAATGAAAAAGAGAATCATAAATATATTTCCTGTACTCACTAAAAAGGCATATCGACATATCTGTCGTAAAAGTATCAGTATTTTCTTCAGAAAAGGTTTTTTAGTGTATCTTTCTATTTTTGAATAAAAATAATCATTTTTCGATGCAAAAATACTGAAATGGACAAGCATCTGTAATGACTTTCAATTAACCTAACATTACAAATTATCTTTTATGTCTTTTATGACATAAAAGATAATTTACAATTAAACAATTTTAATTTACAATTAATTTACAATTACATTGTCTTTTATGACTTTCAATTAATGATTATACGCAATGATTTTAACATATTTACAAGTTACATATTTCTTATTATGATGTCATATAACTTCGAATGTCTGCCTGCTTACAAGATTGTCTCTGTAGTTTTAAAAATTCGTTGTGTATGCAATTGGATCTTCGTAACATTATGTATTGACAAATACGAACATTTCTCGGTAATCTCATGAATCTTATGCAATCCTTCAACCGCTTACTTCCACGTAACTTTCTTACTCTGCATGTTATCTTCATGTTCCTCTTATCCCTACCATTCCTCATGATCTTTCTCTTTTCCCAAATAATAAATGTCCCATTATTTTGTCTTCACTTTGAGAGATTGTGACAGAAACAAAATAATCTACATCCACCCAAGCCTGCACCACCTTTTCACAAATGCTTAACTTTCTCCAGAGATGTAACTAAATTCAAGATGTCAGCCAGAAACGCCGGGTATGTTTCAAAACAAGAAAGTCTTCACCACTGACTCGTCATACCTGAATATGAACACAGTCCGCATTTTACGCCAATAATGAAGTGAATTAGTGTTCTTTACACCTTTGCAAGCAAGTGACAAAGTAAATATGGCATCTTTCAATAATTTGAATTAATTCTGGAAGTCATGGACATATTCTGGATAACTCTTCGGTTCATTGATTGGATAATCTTTGTTGTCTTGCCCGACAGAAACTTAACGCAAATGTTTTCCACGTTTAAATCTTCAGATTGATCGCACGTTACTTTGTTTTTGAATTTTATAGGAACGTACCCCCAGGCTTTACGGATTTAAATTTAGATCTTCAAAAAAGGTCAGTATTTTGATAATATCGGTTAACTGAGTGTCAGTTGTTTATGTAACGAACTATTAATACTCCTTTTCAGTGCTTCTCAACACTTTCATATACATCAATGATGTCAGGTGACAGATCATTAAAATTTATTTTGTTTTATTTAACATAATACATAAGTAGATCCAGAAGTTTACTACTTCACATACGAAACATTGTTTCCTAATAATACCTTCTCGAACACAGGTAGTGGCGCTACTAAATGAAACATTTGTTAGTGAAATTGTTACAGTTCGTTTTTGACTGTGATGTGTTGATTTTTTTCTTTCATGTTTAAAACTGAGTACCGTTCTACAATAAATAGTAACTAAATAAGATAGATCTTAATCTCCCTGTCTCTTTTACACACACACACACAAAACTGTTACCATGCGCATGGCGATATGTTTCTGTTTCAATTCTGCAGTGAACAGTGTAAGTCAAATGATTTCATATTGGCTAAGATACGTCGAAAGATGATTTTAGGGAATGTAAAGCAATGGAGGCATTGACATCAGAAAATATTGCTGGTATCCAGAAGGAGATAATGAGTGATAGGAAACTAAAAGTCATGAAGCAAGATTGGACCCATCTAAAACAACCATTTTACATACTTTACATGAAAATCTTCACATAAACAAAATCTTTGAGAGATGAATACTTCAAATTCTTTCAGCAAAACAGCAGCTCGTATATGAAGTTCAAAAACAGCAACTCACAATCATGGACATTGACCATCTCCATTAAAGAACAGATTTAACTCCAAGTAATCAGTATATGTTCTCCAACTCACATCCTACCACTACAATCCTACCATCATAAAAAGTGATTTTTAATGATACTGATAGAGTGAAAAAAGCAGTTTAAATTTTTTGAGGACAAGTCTTCAGGTTACGTTTTCAGTAGCGAAGAGTTTCTCATTAAATAATGCGAAAAGTGTATCGAAATACAAAACATTACATTGAAAAATAAACCATTAAAATTTCTCCATTTTATTAGGAATATGTCAAGCAGGAAACTTCAGTTTACTTATTTGTGTTGCTATTTTATCAGCTTTTATAGCATTATAATATTGTGGGAAGAAATAATAAAGAAATTTGATAAATAAAATATTGTAGATGTTGACGAAAAGACAGAGACATAAATTAAATATGGATAGTTTATTTATTTATTTCCAACAGAGCAAGGGAGTGTTAGCTGCCTTAGGAAGGATGCTCCCAGGATTGGCTTGGATTACTTGATCACAGCAAAGCACACTAGGGATATTTGTACAAGGAAAGATATGCTTGTGTGGACAAATTTCTGAGGGAAACTTGTTCAGATTCACTTTAAACATGGAAAAAACTGCGATAGCTTCCAAGCAACAAATTCATTTGCCAGAAATGAACGTGTGTCAGTTTCCCATTGTGCAGCGGTTTTCTATATACACAGTCACTGG